TTTCCTTTTCATTCACAAAATGCTTGATCTCCCACTGATTCATTGCTTTGGAGTTTCACTTTTGTTTCGGGAAAGTGACAAGCTCTGGATTTGTTAAGGAAAGGGACAAGCACAAGCTATGCAAGCTATAGTCTGATGAGCTTTTGATCAGATTGCTATTAGGTTCAAAGTCAGAGCAAGTAGCTTAAGGATAATAATATAGCTTAGTAGTCAGAGCCAGTAGCCAGTGGCGATAATAATATTAATGACTATGAGGTTAATGATTTCTTCAAAATGGTCTTGATAATAGATAAAATTATCTACAAGATTTATTTTAAAATTAAATTTTTAACTATCTACCGATCGATCTACGGCTTTCAACGTGGCTTTTCATCGCATTTAAGTGCTTGACGATGTGAGAAATCTTCCGGCGAAATCCCGCCTTTTCAACCTACTTTTCAACAAATTTCAATTATATTTACAAAATGAAAAGCAAAATGAAACTCTTTTCAAAGCATTGTAATAGAAAATCGAGATTGCAACAAATGCATACAAAAAAAAAAAAAACAAAATATGGCCCTTTTTTTGTGAGTGGTTAGAAAACTTAAGCGATTTTTGAAAAGGAAACCAACTTTTCTCTTTCTTTTCTTTAACTAATCCCATTTCAAAATGCAAAAAGGGAAATGTTTTGGATGGGAAATAGAGCGCTTTAACGTAAACTCTTGCTTTCTTTCGGCCCAGATTGACCATTTTTTTGTGTGAAACTCGAGTTGAGGAATTCAGATTTCAGAAAGACTAGAAAAAATTAGCAATAGCTATCAAGTGTAGAAATATGAAGTGGAAAAGTGTTGAATCTGTTTGAAATCCAGGTTTTCAAGGAAAATTGAGTTTGATTGAACCCTTTAAGTTCTGCTAAAGTTTTCAACTCTTTAAGTTCTGCTAAAGTTTTGAACCCTTTAAGTTCTGCTAAAGTTTTCAATCCCTTTTGGTTTTTTAAGCTCTACTAAAGTTTTGAACCCTTTAAGTTCTGCTAAAGTTCAAAAATTTTTTCAAAACACTCAAAACACAAAATTCATTAAACTTGAAAGACTTAAAAAAAGCAAAGGAAAAAGGTTTTTCTTGAACGACGAAGATAAATGAGATTTATTGCTCTAATCGGGAGTGTTTTTTTTTTTGAGAGATTTTCTCTCTTTATAAGAAAAAGATTTCTTGGGGAATCCCTAAGAGAGAAATGAATGGAATTCCAAGGATTTCTCTTCATTGGATCAGAATGATCTAATTTATTTGAATGATAGCTGGAGAAATGGATTATCTAAAAGTTTAGATCAATTAAACCCCGAGTTTGTTGGGATTTTATTGGTTGATTCAATAAAATGAATAGCTCTAATCGATTGCCTGACCCCGAAAACCCTTGGGTACAAATCTAAAGCTCAATATTTTTTTATAACATTTACAAATAAAAGAAGAGTCCCTGGAAATGACTGGTGTTCTTTGTGCGAGCGCACAATCGCTTTCCATCTGGCAAACCGTCTTAGCATAAGGTCTTTCCCTTTTGGAATTGGTGGATAAATGGAATCGAAATCACTTACATTCCCATCTAAATCACTGGCGAAATGTTTTTTGTGCGGCCGCGTAATCGCTCAACTTCTGGCAAACTGGCCTAGCATAAGGGTCTTCCCGTTTGGAGCGGGCAAAGCAAAAGTGACGATGGTGGTTGAGGCGGCACTAGGGTGTTAGCCGTCACTATGCCCAAATCCTTGGAATCGATGTTTCCCTCAAGTTTGGCTACAAGTTCTACATCCGGTGGAGCCATTGTTTGACTCAAACAGCAATCAAACGGAGAGGACAGTCTTGTCCAATCAACCTCCATTTTATATATTTGAAAAGCTGAAGTGTATTTACCGTTCCAATACGGTTCCAATGCGGCTCTAATACGGTTCCAATACGGTTCCAATACGGTTCCAATACGGCTCTAATGCGGTTCCAATACGGTTCCAATGCGGTTCCAATACGGTTCCAATACGGCTCCAATACGGTTCCAATACGGTTCCAATACGGTTCCAATACGGTTCCAATACGGTTCCAATACGGCTCCAATACGGTTCCAATACGGTTCCAATACGGTTCCAATACGGCTCTAATGCGGTTCCAATAACGTTCCAATACGGTTCCAATGCGGTTCCAATACGGTTCCAATACGGCTCTAATACGGTTCCAATACGGTTCCAATACGGTTCCAATACGGCTCTAATGCGGTTCCAATAACGTTCCAATACGGTTCCAATGCGGTTCCAATACGGTTCCAATACGGCTCTAATGCGGTTCCAATAACGTTGGGTTCCAATACGGCTCTAATGCGGTTCCAATAACGTTCCAATACGGTTCCAATACGGTTCCAATACGGTTCCAATACGGTTTCAATCAACCTCCATTTTATATATTTGAAAAGCTGAAGTGTATTTTAAAATATCTCAAGCCCATTAGTGTTATCTTAATCTATCTTGATCAAACCACTATTATTGTAAAATTTGAATAAATAAATAAAATTATAGCCAAGGTAATGAAGTGATATCATAAAAGTGGGTAATGGCTAAAATCCTAATCACAAAAACTTATCCGGAACATCCTACGAGGTGGGAACGTTAATGAAAAAAAAAAAGAAAAAAAGAAAAACTGATATTTCATCAAGAACTCGAGGTTTATTTTGACGATCAGGTGAAAATTTTCTTCAAATCTCTAAATAAAATGAGAGAAATCTCAAGATTGAACCTCGTTTCTCGAAAAAAAAAAAAAAAGATTAGTTTGATCGGCTCGTGTTCGTCATTTTCTCAATTTTCTTTCCCATTTCCCCAAAATTTTGCATCCCTCATCTGTCACTTTCGATTCACCATTTGTGAGATCAATTTCCCGGCAAAAATCCACAAATTTTTGCCATGTTTTGGATATTTTTATCCACCTTTTTTCCCCCTTCCATTTGCCGACTTTGCCGACTTCTAGGCTCCAGTTGATTTATTATTGAAAAAATTTTTCAGACATTTTTTTTCTCCTTTTTCAAATCATTTGGCGGTAAAGATTTATGGATTTTACGCATGAATAAAGAAAAATTTTAGAAATATTAAAGTAAACAGTAAACAATTTCGAGTTAGATTTGAAATTCTCTTCGTTATCAAGCAGATGAAACTATCCTTGGGATAAGGAGTTTGAAAGTAGCTATGGATTAGAATGGGAATGCAGCCTGTCAAGCTTACTGTGGTAAAGTGGTATTGTATAGAAGTACAGTAATTACTGTAGCTTTTCCAAAAAAAGAGTACAATAAAACCGTCGACATCAGAGCTTTTGCAAAAAGCTCAAACCTATGGCTGACCAAGGCAAGGCAAGGCAAGCCAAGCCAAGCTAAGCCAAGCCAAACCAAACCAAGCCAAACCAAACCAAACCAAATCAAGAAAATCGGTCTAGTAACACCATGACAAGCAGTTCATACAGAGATATAGAATAAAATTGAGCCAAGCTAAGCTAGGCTAAGCTAAGCTAGGGTAAGCTAAGCTAAGCTAAGCCAAGCTAAGCTAAGCCAAGCTAAGCTAAGCCAAGCTAAGCTAAGCCAAGCTAAGCTAGGCTAAGCTAAGCCAAGCCAAACCAAAAAAATCGGTCTAGTAACACCATGGCAAGCAGTTCATACAGAGATATAGAATAAAATTGAAATAAATATGTATAGACAGTTAACAAAAACTCTAGACTCATCAGTAATGTTGAGAGAAAGACTAGACTCGGAGGAAGATAAAAAAAACACGTTCTCTCAAATAAAATAACCAATTATGAGTGACCGGGTTGGACAATGGGAGAAAGAGAATGGGCAATGAGACGAGGAAAAGGAAACGAGTTTTGCTGGTTATGAGTTGAGTTGAGTTTTCGTCGGCAAAACTGAACTCCAGTGACTGAAGTCTCTTCTGTCAACTCCGAGAAAGAAATGGTTACACAGAGCACTTATAAGCTATAAGAAGCTAAGGGAAATATGCACTTATAATCGAAAATTTTGTATTTGAAATGTTCGCTTGTTGACGATGAATCAAAACGGTTTTTTAAAAGGCCTTTTAAAAGGTTTTTTGAGAGATTACCGTAATTTGATTGACAATTTTCTTCTTAAATCAAATCTGTGAATGAAAAAGTACGATTTGGAAAGAAATTAGATTCAAAACGCTACCTTAATTTCATAGAATTTCATAGAATTTCATAGAATTTCATAATCAAACTTCTATGAACCTTCAAAAATCATAAATCCTTCCGAAAAAAGTGACCTTAATGATGATAAATGATGATAAAGCCTTAATGATCTTAAAGATCATAAATTTCTTAAGTCTATTGTTTTAAAGTGATCTTAATGATCATAAACTTCTCAAGTTTATTATTTCAAAGTGATCTTAATGATCATAAATTTCTCGTTTATTGTTTTAAAGCGATCTGGTGTTTGCCTTAGACTGATAAAAAGGACAAAAAGGATAAAAAGAACAAAAAGAATCAAAAAGGAACAAAAAGAATCAAAAAGAATCAAAAACAAACTACAAAAATGCAGGAAAGTTTCTTCTGTTCTTAAAAAAAGATTCCTCTTTTCTTTTTCCTTTCATTTCTGGATGGCTAGTGGCAAGTTTTCTGGAAAGGAACGGGTAAAGAAGAGGGAAAATAAGGGAATGAGAGGTCCGATAAGGTCTTTCTTCTCTTCCAAACGATTCAGACTTTTCAGAGAAAAACCTTTTTTCGTTTTTCGATTTGAAATTTCATGTGGTTTCTTTTTTTTTTTTTAAGCAAAACTTGAAAGCAAAACTTGAAATCTTTCAAGTCCATTGATAGATTTCGAGAAGTTACTTGTTTTCTCTCAAATAAGCCCTTTGGATACGATAAGTTTTGATTGAAAATTTCGAATAACCTCTTTTTCAGCTTGACCAAAAATCAACCGCCAGCTACTGGATTGTCAGCTGTTTACACGTTTTTGTTGCCATTCATTTCTCAATCATTTCCCCTTTTTCTGAATGTTCACTCCCCTTCTATTGATTGCCACGCTTGGTCAGCTGAATGCCGAATTGATTTTTGCGCAAGTGGTGAGTTTTGTGGTTTAAAATTTTAGAAATCTTTTAACCTGATTGGATCTGGTCGGAGCTGATCGAATCGAATCGGAGCTGATTGGATCGAATCGAAGCTGATCGGATCTGATTGGATCTGGTCGGAGCTGATTGGATTGAATCGGAGCTGATTGGATCGAATCGAAGCTGATCGGATCTGATTGGATCTGGTCGGAGCTGATTGGATCGAATCGGAGGGGGGGGGGGGGGGGGGGGAGCTGATTGGATTGAATCGGAGCTGATTGGATCGAATCGAAGCTGATCGGATCTGATTGGATCTGGTCGGAGCTGATTGGATTGAATCGGAGCTGATTGGATCTGGTTGAAACAAATCGGATCTGATTGGATCTGATTGGATCGAATCGGGTCTGGTTAAATCAAATCGAATCTGATTGGATCGAATCGAAGCCGATCGGATCTGATTGAATCTGATCGAATCTGATCGAATCTGATTGGCTCTGATTGAATCGAATCGAAGCTGATCGGATCCGTTTCAATTCGGATCGAATCGGAAGCGAATTTCTCTTTCAAAAAAATAGTTTATTGCTAGGAAAAAAAAAATTCTGTATTTTGTGATGTTTTTATCTATCATTTTGTAGTGAAAAAGCACAAAAAAATAAGATGCACAGTTAGATAAAATAAAAGAATAAAGAAATAAAGAAAATTGAAAGAAATGAAATAATAGATCTATTTTTAAAGCTATCTATTTGTTAAAGCTATCTTTTTTTAGTGGTTCCGACATGGAGCTCGAGCGCCGACCGTTTTTGGTCGTTTCCCTAGCGAATCAAAGGATTTTGGAGTCAGTTTCCCGTATGAAAAAGGCGAATTGACAAAGGTTGATTAGATAAAATTATAATTTATAACAAATCTATTACTAGCTATTATTAGCTATTATTAGCTAGATTATTGAGTTTATTTCCTAGGAAGGGAAAATGATGGAGTACGAGCTGGGGAAACGCTTCCGAGAGGAGTTCAAGGGGTTCATCTCGAATGAATATGTGCCACACGAGGTAAACAAATCCAAAACGTATTTTCTCTCATAGTAGTGCACCGTAAGCTTCACCTAAATTCCTCGAAATCTCGAGAACCGCTTATCAGAACCTATCGATGTGGGGTCGGAAAATGTAGCCGACGATCAGATCTAGTGGGGGATTTGAGTATTGGACCTCTGGGAAAACTTGGAAACCGTAAAATAGTCATCAACTAGGCTCGCCAGAGTGCACTACTATTAGAGAAAATACGGTACATCTACAATGCATTGCTTTAGAATCGAATTTTCATCGACGAGGACAATCGCACGTCTGACAGTGCGGCGCTCATGCTTGCAGGTATTGATAAAGTTTGTAATAGTTAAAGCTCAAGCATTTTAAAATGCTATTTTATTCTAAATTTATATTTAAAATCTTTTTTCAGGTCTCTACCCACCTAGTGAATCACAAATCTGGAATCCAGAGCTTTTGTGGAATCCGATTCCCCTTCACGAGGACAATATTATGGTCAAGGTTGGAAAAAGTTTTTTTTTGCGAATTTACACAAAACTTTTTGCAAGTACCGTAGCCTGATAGTGACTAGAGCCTGCTTAAACACCTTTTTCTCAAGCCTTACAAACTAATGAATAGCTCAGTGGTAGAACAATTACCCAGAAAGCAAATGGTTCAATCCCCTCTCCTGAAATCTTGGCTCGACTTTTCTTAGCAATTCTTGATTACAAACGGTTTCTTTAGGCTGGTATGGGAATCGCGGACACTTGTCCAAAAATCGGAGACGAAGTGATGAAAAGACCAGCATTTTGGAATATTCTCGAACGATACCCGACAGTCGTCGAGCAGTTCGAGAGGCTGAGCGGAGTCGAGATCTCATTGCCGAAAAATCTCAGCGATGTGTTGGATGAATACTACACGAGGGTGAGTGATGTATAAGGCTAAAAAAAGTCAAAGCCGGTTTACTTTATCTTTTTCTGTTATGATAAGCCGTAAGTATTGTTTCGGGATTCAAAATTTAGTTTAAACGAGTGATTTCAATTCTAAACCTAATTCCATCTTCATCTTAAGTCGATTTTTCTGAAATTTTGCTTAGAAATAGAAATTGGGATTCTCTGCTTGTAGACAAAAAATTTCAGAGCTGAAGAAATAAAAGTGGAAATGGATTCGAGTTAGAATTATGTTTAGTATAAATTAGTTATTAGTTTAGTATAAACTAGTTCTTAGTTTAGTATAAATTAGTTATTAGTTTAGTATAAACTAGTTCTTAGTTTAGTATAAACTAGTTATTAGTTTAATATAAACTAGTCATTAGTTTAGTATAAACTAGTCATTAGTTTAGTATAAACTAGTCATTAGTTTAGTATAAACTAGTCATTAGTTTAATATAAACTAGTTATTAGTTTAATATAAACTAGTTCTTAGTTTAGTATAAACTAGTCATTAGTTTAGTATAAACTCGGCGACTCTCGACTCCCCGCCGCGTCGTGGTTGACTGACAAAATGGCGGAAAGGATTCGAGAAATCGAGACGAACATCACCACGCAATTCTTCAAGATTCCCGAAGTGATGGATTCGATTGGAGGTGATTGAGAAATAAAGAACTCAGCTAAAGCTTATCTAAAGCTTACCTAAAGCTTTTCAGCATGGCACACAACAAGATTGATTGACGAAATCGATGTTGTCTTGAATCAACCGACAAACAAACGGAGGAAATTCGTTTTCTTTTCTGGGGTCAGCTTTGAATCGATCGTAACCAATACTCTGTACTTTTAAGTTAAAGTTTACGGTAAAGCTTTCAGCATGACACAAATTTGTTGATCTTGGGGATTCGTCTTGGATTGCCCGGTTGTGGGGAGCATTTTTGTGACTTTGGCGGCAGTTTAGCGATCGAATTGCACAATGAGACGAACAATTTCTATTTAAAAGTTCTTTTATCTATTCTTTCATATAAAATTCAATGTTTTTTCAGTTTTTCTACTCTAATTATTATAAAAATCCTCGAGAGGAGGTCATCTCAAAGCTATGCGGTCATCCATGCTCACTCACCAAATTCAAATTGCTCTTTTCGAATCCAAGGTGAGTTTAGATTGGCTACAATGCTTAAATACATACAAATCTCTACAGTATACCGAAAAAAAAAGAAGACTGAATATCTTTCATTTATTAGTTTACTTGGTAAACTATCGTGAAAAGGATTTACAGTACTTCTAAGATATTAACCTTAATTAAAGTACAATTACCGTATTTTCTCTAATAGTAGTGCACTTCGGCGAGCCGAGTTGGTGACTATTTTACGGTTTCCAAGCTTTTGCAGAAGTCCAACACTCTAATCCCCCACTAGATCTCATCCTTAGCTACATTTTCCAATCCCACATCGATCGGTTCTGATAAGCGGTTCTCGAGATTTCGAGGAATTTAGGCGCTTACGGTGCACTACTATTAGAGAAAATATGGTATGCTTTATTCAGGGGGCGAATTGATGCGAATCTAATAGTAGTGCACGGTACCGAGCCGCGTTGATGACGATTTTACAGTTCCCAAATTTTCCCAGAAGTCCAACACTCTAATCCTCCACTAGATCTCATCGTCAGCTACATTTTCCAATCTCACATCGATAGGTTCTGATAAGCGGTTCTCGAGATTTCGAGCAATTTAGGCGAAGCTTTGGGTACACTACTATTAGAGAAATCTTAAATCTTAAATCTGAGATCTTATCTTAAAAGTATTCAGGATAGATGAAGTGACATTTTGGAGGAAATGCAAATACCCGATTATGATGGAAAATGGGAACGAGAATACGATTTTGATTGGTAAGTAGCTTAAAAAGAAGCTATACTTGCATAAATCGAAAATTTAGTGACACTATTTGTGATCATTGTTGGTTTAATTATGACAAATATTTTCTCATGTTTCAAATTACGACGAAAACAAAAAAGTCGCAGCAGCACAATCGATATGGATGAAACGGAACCGTTAATGTTTAAAGGAGAAATTTAAAAGAACAATATTCAACTCGAACTATGGGTATTTATAGATTTTATTTATTTTTGTTTTTTACAAGTAAATTGTTTTTATGAAGTACTAAAGAAAAACTTAATTGTTGAAGTGAAAAGTTAAAGGAAAGAGTTAAATGGAAGAGTTAAAGGGAAGAGTTAAAGAGAAGAGTTAAAGAGAAGAGGTAAAGGGAAAGGTTAAAGAGAAAATTCACAAGCATTCGATTGCCATTATCTTTTTCCCCATTCCTCTCACTAATCACAATGAAATGGGAATGGATAGAGACAGCTGACGGCTATTCAATCTCTAGATCACTGTTCAGATCTATGCAAATTACACACTCTGAATCTCAAACACTTTTGAAAGAAATGAAAAAATCTTCATTCTTAGTGAAACAATTTTTTTTTATAGAATTGTTTAAAAGATTGTTTAAAAGCATGACACAAATTTGTTGATCTTGGGGATTCGTCTTGGATTGGGGAGCAATAGAATGAGCAATAGAATTTAAGGAGGTTGTGGGGAGCAATAGAATTTAGTGTAACGAAACTTTAGCTAATCATTTTACGGCCATATTACAATCGTTTAAGAAAGAGTACGAGGTTTAGAAAAAAAATTTAAAAGAAAAAAATACCCAAGACTCAGTAAGAAATTAAAGAAAACAAAAGAAGAGAAAAGAAGACAAAGATTTGACCAAAAGATAGCAAGAAATCAAAAGAAAACTTTCAATTAAAATTCACAAACCTTTGGTGCAGCGAAATCCCTTATCTTTCCTCGTCCATTGTGCCGTTGTCCATCACCGCCATTCCTTGTTGAAGATTGATTTGGAACAGTCCTCACCGTATCCGATGATTGAATCAAAGCAACTCGGCCATGATTCATTTTCCAAAATAATAGAAATTTTAGAAATCGATGAAAGATCGGCAGCAAAATCGACTGTGGCTTACCCTAGAAATGAGAAAATGAATAACGATCACGGAGATAACGGTAGTATTGGAGAAATTATTTAGAAGAGTATCAAGAGCTTTTTTAAAGCAGTAATATCGGTAAACAAATGAACAATTGAAAGGTTACTGTACTTGATACTTGATACAATTTGTTACTTGAATAGCTACGCTACTTTATGAACGACAACAGTACCCTAGGAATGCAATGATAGAGTAAAAATACCTCTCTCTAATAGTACTGCACCATGAGCCTTGCCTAAATTCCTCGAAATCTCGAGAACCGCTTATCAGAACCTATCGATGTGGGGTCGGAAAATGTAGCTGACGATCAGATCTAGTGGGGGATTTGAGTGTTGAGCTTCTGGGAAAACTTAGAAACCGTAAAATAGTCATCAACTCAGCTCACTGGGAAATAGATCAGTCTGATCTACTAGCCTAACCTGGAATAATATACCGTCTTCTCTCTAATAGCAGTGTACCCAAAGCTTCGCCTAGATTCCTCGAAATCTCGAGAACCGCTTATCAGAACCTATCGATGTGGGATTGGAAAATGTAGCTGACGATGAGATCTTGTGGAGGATTTGAGTGTTGAGCTTCTGGGAAAACTTGGAAGCCGTAAAATCGTCACCAACTAGGCTCGCTACCGTGCACTACTATTAGAGAGAAGACGGTAACCTAGTGCCTTTACAAAAGTAGAGATTAAAAAGGAAAAGAAACAAAAGCTATTAAACAACAATGTTACAGTACAAAAACTTGAAGGAGTTGAAAGAAAAAAGGAAATGAAACAATCACTAATGTCTGTGTTGGTTTTTACTGTGCACTACTATTCAGAGAAAATACGCGATTTTCGTTTTCTTAAACAAGAATAAAACGAAGACGAACTTTTAGGCTCAAAAAAATGTGAAACTGATTTTCACTAATTTGTAACTCTTCTTGCGGCACAGAAAAAAGAAAATAGAATAAAATAGAAAGCGTATAAACATAAGAAAAACGATAGTAAACCGAAATTTTCATCATTTTCATTTTCTCATTCATCAAATTGTTTAGTTGATAACAAAAAAAAAATTTGCTCTTTTCTTTTTCTTTTTTTTTTTTGCAAATATTTGACATAAAAGTATTCTTTATTTACCCAAAATTTTCTATTGTTTTAATGAAAAAAAAATGGAAAGTCAATGGGTAAATTGAAGAGTTTAAACGAAGAGAATGATGAAAAGAATGATGAAAAGAACCACGGCTGAAAAGTCAACAATGAAAAAGAGTAACGAATTGAAAATGAGAACAATATTTCAAAAGAATTCCGAGAGTTTAAAATAAAATTCTTTTCATTTTGCTAAAACTACTGTAATCTTGGTTATTTTTTTTCTCTAATCTATTCATTTTTTCTATCTTTATCCTTTAAAGTTTATCGCTTTAATGCATTCTCTCTTTTCCCATTGACAAGCGACCGAGTGCTTGGCTTACCAGAGTGCACTACTTTAAACTCAAATCTCTTGATGGTCGGCTTCTTCAATTGAAATCTTCTTAATATCATTAGATTTGTAAAGTCTTTCTCTGTCGATTTGAACAAAAACTATTTACTTTATTGTCTCTAAGGGAAAAGTTAAAGGGAAAAGTTAAAGGGAAAGTGCGCGTAGTGAGCCTAAATTGCTGCCTAAATTGCTTGAAATCTCGAGAACCGCTTATCAGAACCTATCGATGTGGGGTCGGAAAATGACGCTGACGCTGACGTAGCTGTAGCTGACGATGAGATCTAGTGGAGGATTTGAGTGTTGAACCTCTGGGAAAACTTGGAAACTTTAAAATCGTCATCAACTCGGCTTACCGGAGTGCACTACTATTAGAGAAAATATGGTACATCTACAATACATTGCTTCAGAATCGAATCGAAAACGAATCGAATCAAGTGATGCAAAGACTCGAGTTCGGTCGATCGATCATTTCCCACCAGATGATCATGTTCGAGATGATCGGGTAAATGATTGCCGTATTGTCTCTAATAGTAGTGTACCCAAAGCTTCGCCTAAATTCCTCGAAATCTCGAGAACCGCTTATCAGAACCGATCGATGTGGAATTGAAAAATGTAGCTGACGATGAGATCTTGTGGAGGATTTGAGTGTTGAGCTTCTGCAAAAGCTTGGAAACCGTAAAATAGTCACGAACTCGGCTCGCCGCGGTGCACTACTATTAGAAAGAATACGGTCAATTGGACAAGCCAACGCCAAGAAATTTAAGTTTAAAGTTAGATTGCCAATGACAAAAGGGATTTGCTACGTATAAAATGTTTCACAATTGTTTAAAAATCATGAAAAATGTAAAAATTTAGTTTAATTTAAAATAAGAAATATTTCTAAAATAGTGGCTTTTTAAAAATTGCCATTTAGTTAGCTAAAAAGTTATTTTTAAACGTTGACAAGTTAAAAAACACTATGAATATAGGAAGAATGATATCGAAATCGAAAAATGAACTATAAAAAGTCTTTTTGTTCTATTTACAACACTTAATTCCTTTCTACAATCGAAAAAGTGAGGCTTTTGAGTGATCGGAGAAAGAGAAGAAAAGAGATGGGAGTATTGAAGGGAGAAATTCGATCTCCTTTCCCCCTTTCCCCCCTCTCTTTGACTCTACTTCATTCCTCTTTCATTCGAGACTCATTTCATCTTTTTCTTCTTTTATTCAGCTTTTTAGCTCTTAATATAAGAGAATTCTTAAATAATATAAGCCAAACAATACAAAGCAAACATTCAAGCAGTTTATTTTATTTATATATATATTAGGTTGGTGCAAAAGAAATTTCGGTCGATATAAAATGTTCTTATTTTTTTAATCTGAAGAGCTTATTTGATGTTCTTTTGTGCATTTGTACTCTTGGATATTTACTTTATTTTCGCATTTTTTCAAAGTCAGAGCTTTCACTTTTTAATTAATTTTAATTGCTTTAGATCATGGTGGATCAAAAGTATGTTCTGCGCACGTGTCTTCTCTATGACTTCAAAATGGGCAAAAACGCTGCTGATTCACATCGTGATCTCTGTTCCGCCTTTCGAGAACAGGTTATCACCGAAAGATCATGCCAGCTCTGGTTTGCCCAATTCCGAGATGGTAATGAATCCCTTGAAGACGAATCGCATGGACATCGTGCCACAGCCATCGACAACAATGAATTGAAACAATTAATTGAAGCTGATCCAATGCAAACAACACGAGAACTTGCCAAACATCTCCAATTCAACAATTGTACGCCATTTGGAAATAATTGGAAAGACAAATCGTAATGGACAATGGGTTCCACATCAATTGAGTTCTTGAGTGTTGAGAATCTGGGAGCACGCGTTCCGATCAGCCATATCTTGCTCCAGAAGTCGAAAAGAAGCCATTTTTTTGAGAATATCTTGACGATGGATGAGAAGTGGATTCACTTTGATAATACTTCTCGAAAAAGACAATGGCTGAGCAAAGGTCAAGCGCCAATTCCAACTCCAAAGCCGGATTATCATGGGCGCAAAGTGATGTTGTCTTGCTGGTGGAATATCAATGGACTTGTTCATTTTGAATTATTAGAGCCCGGAAAAACAGTCGATTCATCTTATTTTATTCAACAACTCAAGAAGGTTGACGAAATTTTGCGTGAAAAAGGCCTAAATCCCTCAACTATCAACTTTCTCCGTGATAATGCTCCAGCTCACACGGCAAAAACCTCTTGTAAGGAACTAGAGAAGCTAGGATGGAAGGTCTTACCACATGCGCCGTATAGTCCAGACTTAGCACCCTCCGATTTTCACCTTTTCAGATCGATGCAACATTCCCTTGAGAATTGCCAGTTTAAGAATGCAAAAGAAGTCGAAAATTGGGTGACCAACTACTTTGCATCACAGAATCAAGCGTTCTTTGAGAAGGAGATCCGCAATCTGTAGCAACGTTGGAGGGATGTCATAGATAATAATGGTGCTTATTGTTTTAAATAAATTGTTATCAAAAAAAATTTTGGATGACTTTAATGTTTGTAAAAAAACGAAATTTCATTTGCACCAACCTAGCATATAGATACTTTATGTGA